GTCCTGGTGTTGGCAACACGCGCGACTCAAAATTTTCTTGACGGAAGAGTGAATTGAATTCTCTAGTTGACATCATTCTGCCTTCCACGTGGCGTTGTCGTTCGGAGCCCGATATTCTTCCAGGCGCTGAACCAGCTGATTGCCGAAATCTAAGCGGAGAGAAGACTACTTCAACAGAACAATCTGCAATTTATGTGGTGGTCTCCTATGTGATTTTAGCCGAAGTCGCATCTTTTACATGACCATACGATGATCCATACAGCCCTCGGCATTGTAGATCGTCCTAGTCATCAGCACGTCTTGACAGTCACGCATGCGGATGAGAAAGTAGTCGGGCCGGTGCCAGTGACTAAAGCGACGGTGCATTCTTGTTGCCTTTTCCTGAGTCGAAAGGCGTTGTTTAGGAACAAAAGAGGAAGTGGTTAGAGGAAGTGAGGTTAGTAAGCCGTAGTTCGTTAGTTCGCGGGAACGACATAACTTACGTCAGTAGTAGTAGTAGTAGTAGTAGTAGTAGTGGTAGTAGTAGTAGTAGTAGTAGTAGTAGTAGTAGTAGTAGTAGTAGTAGTAGTAGTAGTAGTAGGGGAAAGGAGGGTGGGACTGGCGTAGTCTACGCTGACTTCACGAGGTATTGTCCGGAGCAAGCTCTCAGAAGGAGGACATCGTTGTCGTTTTCGCACAGCCCCCATGAGGATCCTGAACTCTGCCCCAGACAGTGTTGTTTGTCCAAACACGAGCAGTGAAGTAACAGTGGCCAAGGCCGCGGCCGCCACCATGATCACAACCTATTAAAGTCGTTTCGGGTGAGAAGTAGGAGGCCAGGTTGATTCTCTCAAGTAATACCAACCCCCGGAATTCTCATAAGGCTCTTTAACATAACTCCTCTCCATACGAACGTCTGAATGCCGCAAATTAGTGACCGAGTTGGAAGGGAGACCTGCAGATGGAGAAAGAAAATCATGGCTATTTCGAAGGGACGAGTAATGTGGAGAAACACTGTGTGGCAGAGGGACCAAATAATGCTGATTATGGTAACGGCAACGTAGTAGTGTCAAACTCAAAGCTAACTGACCTGGACACTGCCGAGTATTCTGCACCGAAATTCTTGTATAACGACGCCCAGAGTCTGTTTTCGGAGTCCGGCAAACTGAAAATACTGGTAAACAATAGACACTGAAATGCTAAAGCAATAGCAGAAACTTGGCTGCCACAGAGCATCAACGATTGCGAAATAGCACTACCGGGGTGCCAGTTACTCAAGAGAGGCTGAATGGGCCGTCGGAG